AAAAAAAAAAAAAAAAAGGATAAAATAGAAAGAAAAATAAGAACAGTTACTAAAAAAAAAACCACGGCTAATCCCATATAGTTGGTTTGAGAGAAGAATATAAGATAAAATTTTTTACGGCTGCTCTTATTTCTTACTTTAAAAATTGATGACAATGTAAAAGACTATTAGCTTAGCGATTAGTTTTGAATGAATAAAGTAGTTAATTTTTTTGGTTCTGCTTTTTTTTTTTTTTTTGAAGAAAATTTTCTACTGGAACCATTTTACACAAACCTTATCGATCTTTGCTTATTCAGAACAATTAAGCATTAAATTTAGCACTATTTTATTTATTTTATTTTTTTTTTTCTTCTTCTATATCTAATAGGGCCACTTCAATCACATAAACACACACACACACACACACTCACACATACACTCACACATACACTCACATAACACATCCAAATCGACAAATTGAATCTGTAGCATTTTTTGATTATTTTTAGCTGAATAATAAAAGATGTAATTCGTTGTACACAGCTTCATTAACATCTTTTTTTTTTTTTTTCTTTTTTTGCTTTTTTCCTTCACAGTTTTTTCTTCTCCATTCTGCAATATTCATTAAAATTTCTTGTCACTAAATTTATGAACAATCAACAACTGCTACTGTTCACTGCCGATTTTAATGCACTGTCAATTTTAGCGAAAAAAAAAAAAAAAAAAAGATGTCAATAATGGTTTTGAAATGTTGCAAACAAAAAAAGAAATTCTTTCCTTTCAAAGAAAAAAAAAAAGTTTTTTTTAGTACGTTGCAAACAACTATTGCTGAAGTTTAACAGATAAACTGAAAAAATCCACAAAACCCAAATACTTCTTTGACACTTAGACTGAACCGCAGCAACATTTAATATATGTATCAATATAAAGAAGAACAACTAAATTTTTGTTTCAGAAAAAAATTTTACTGATAACTTAAGTAAAATGAGATTAAAAAAAAGTGGTATTGAAGATGCAAAAAATGACTTGGTTACTGGATAAATAAGTTTAAAATAATAATTTAAAGCAAATTTTTTTTGTATGACTAAAGTAGTAATTTCATCAAGAACAAATTTGTTGCTGTAACATACGTTTTACAAAATTGAAAAAAGATCAGACTGTTGTCGATTAGAACCATTTTTACATTTACATACCAC